CTTTTCCTGCCACCAGCAGTTCAAAGTTTTATCTTATTCAGTGAAATATATCAACATCTAGCAGATGGATTTGCACCAGACGGTCTGCAGACATTCATGGTTCTCAAATTATAGATCCCACTGACCATTACCATTGGTGATCCTGATTTTTCCTTTTGTGCCACCAGCAGTTCATAGTTTTCTCTGATTCAGTGAAATCTCTCAACATATATGCAATGGATTGGCACCAAGTTATGTACAGATGTTCATGGTTCCCAGATGAAGTATCCCATTGACTTTAGTGATCCCCTGATCCCCTTTCCTCCAGCACCACCATAAGGTTTGACATTTTTTGGGGTTTTTTGTCTTGACTCTTTGGTACAGGCATACACTCACCTAAAGAATTATTAGGAACACCTGTTCAATTTCTCATTAATGCAATTATCTAATCAACCAATCACATGGCAGTTGCTTCAATGCATTTAGGGGTGTGGTCCTGGTCAAGACAATCTCCTGAACTCCAAACTGAATGCCAGAATGGGAAAGAAAGGTGATTTAAGCAATTTTGAGCGTGGCATGGTTGTTGGTGCCAGACGGGCCGGTCTGAGTATTTCACAATCTGCTCAGTTACTGGGATTTTCACGCACAACCATTTCTAGGGTTTACAAAGAATGGTGTGAAAAGGGAAAAACATCCAGTATGCGGCAGTCCTGTGGGTGAAAATGCCTTGTTGATGCTAGAGGTCAGAGGAGAATGGGCCAACTGATTCAAGCTGATAGAAGAGCAACTTTGACTGAAATAACCACTCGTTAGAACCGAGGTATGCAGCAAAGCATTTGTGAAGCCACAACACGCACAACCTTGAGGCGGATGGGCTACAACAGCAGAAGACCCCACCGGGTACCACTCATCTCCACTACAAATAGGAAAAAGAGGCTACAATTTGCAAGAGCTCACCAAAATTGGACAGTTGAAGACTGGAAAAATGTTGCCTGGTCTGATGAGTCTCGATTTCTGTTGAGACATTCAACATATGTCTATTAGAAGGAAGCCAAATGTGTGTGTATGATCCAAGTGTATATGATGTACTCTACAGGTACAGAATACTATAGTAATACTGTGTTCAGCTTGCAAGGACTCAGTAGAGGTGATAGGAAAAGGACTTTCAGCTAGGAAGGTGGTTAATATAATTTGTGTATGTATGCTTACATAGGAATGTTCTTCGATTGCAAGCAACCTTTCTAAACTTCTGAAAGCTTCTGAAATATGAGTCAAAGGAAATAAAACATAATTAATTCACTGAACTCCGTGTTTGAAATCGCAACATTTATGTTTGCATGCTATAAGCAATTCAATCAGTATTGATGCAGTACATCTCTGAGAAGATATCAGCGCAAATCTTTTCAGTGATAATGTCTCACGTGCAAAAACTGTTTGCTAAAAGTAATAGGCAGAACAGAGCTTCGCTCTGCACAATCATACTTGGAAGATACTATCAGTTTTGGTGACCATATAGGCCATTCTTTACTTTGGGTAGACAATGATACCAAACATATATACAGTATATATTTCCTCATGATTTATAGACAACATTTTTGCTTTCATTTCATGTGATTGTGATTTTGAGTATATCTTTGTTGTACAGACTCAATGACAAAACAATGACATAAATTACTGTCCAGCATAAGTTAATTTTCTCAATATTTTTGACAAAAATGTGACAACCTGTTTGGTTGAATGTCATTTTAAAAAGAATAAGATATTATAGCATAATTTCTCTGACTTGTTCTGAGTCTCTCTTAACATTTGAACATAGTGACATTTATCTTTATGGGGATCTTTATATAAATTTAATGATTTTTCCACATGTGAATCCTTGATGCATGTATATATTCATGCATATACACGTTTTCTCTATGCTGTGCGGTACGTGATAAACTTTTATCTGTCTTCATGTAATGGTTATGTCAGTGAAGTTTTTATCAGGTTTGGTCTAAAGTGTTATCTGTTAGTTTCAGATAAAGCTTAAGAACATTTCTGATGTCGAGGGAACATAGTGGTTTATGACACAGTGAAACCCTGTGCATGACTTCATTGTGTCTGGACTTTCAGCCAATGGTTGCTCAACCAGATTGACTGATCAGTAAACTGTAGAAGAATGTATTGCACACTGTATTATGCAATTAACAGTGTTGATGCATTTTCTGTGCTATAGACATCTATAATCTATATTTTCTGAGTAAAAAATACAGGACTGCATGTTTAGCATATTAAGCACATTATCTAATTTTTTAATATACTTTCAATGTAAAGTAGCCTACATTGCGTTTATGTGCTATTTAAACAAAATTGCCATTGCAAATATTTTTTTATAGGATACATACATCTTTTATGGTTTATATATTATTTCTTTGTACAACAATGAGTTGTGCACGATTTGAGGTGAGGCAAACTCATGAACACTGAGTTACAGCCATATAATCTATCATGTTGATGCAGCATCTCCTATAAGTGAAATGCCACCAAATTTAGCACAACCGCTTAGAGTTGATGTGATCACTAGGAGTTTGTATGCGCATTTGTCCCCTAAAAGTTGTTGCAATAGCATAATGCACTCTTAAGACTCATGTCAGTACAATGGGCCTCTTCTAAAAGACTTTGCCAAACATTTATAGGAAAACAGTATGGGATACTGTCCAGCAAATGAAAAACTTTTTAATAAGGGGATGCTTACAAATATATTCTGTAACAAATGATGAGGACACTATGAAATGTGCATCAGGAGAAGCAAGAGGAGGAAAGAGGACAGCATTTATTATGGTTGAAACTTTCTTGGCCCATGGTGACACTTTGTTACAATAACAAATGAATGTAAAACAGTCTGCAAGTCACTAATCATGAAAATAGATTTTAATGTTGCACCAGACCTAAAAGAGACAAAATAACAATAGAATTTAACTTTTTACCCTCTTTTTAAAAAAATCAAATTTAGGGTAGAATCAGAAATGATGGATAAAGGATAGAGGCCCAAGGACATTAGTTAGACCAAAGATGGAGTCTTAAGAGACCTCTGTTTTAAATACTGGAATATTGTTTTTGCCATCCAGCATTTAACATCCTCAGGCAACCCTCTGTTTCAAAGAAGACACATTAGTGTATCATTTGCAGGACATGTTATGTTTTATAAAAAACAGATCCCAATTATGGAATATTTAAACAGAATAAAATAGTGCCCAAAATACAGCCTTGTGGTACTCCACAGGTAATCCTTACAGAGAAAGAAGAAATGTTCACAATCATGTTTTCTAGTTATAATTCTGAAATTTTATTTAATAAATTATCCATAGAATAACCTTACACCTTAGGTTATTCTCTTATTGTCTAGACATGATTTTTTTTTAAATTAAATTTTTTATTCGAATTGTGATTTGAAGGGCTTCAACATTTTAAGGCTTGCAATGTGTAAATCTTTGCCTGATTTAATCATTTCGACAATCTTGTTTAAAGTAGCATCACTCAAAGCTTATGTGATGACAATGTTGGCACATTTGGTGAACTACTCAGCACAACAATCCATCCTGAATGGTTGGGACGTGATCAAGAAGTCTACAGATAACCACCATTATACATAGCAAAGCATACAGTTGATGACATGTGCACTGCTGTGCCTCCTTCAAATGTTATCATGCAGCTTGAGCATGCACCACTGGGTTGTTCTATTCACACTACTTCTAACAAGAAATAATAAAGCTGAACAGTACTTACAAAGTAGAATCATTGTTCTGAGTGGATCAAACAGTTGACCTTTATGCCCAACGATCGATTAGGCAAGAGTAGCTACCACTGCTCCGCTGGGCAACTTCACATGTCTGTCTCCTGTGATGTGGGTCAAAGAGTTTATGATCACTCTCACAGGCCTCATCAGGTGGACAGCAGTAGCAGGATTATGTGTATGTGCATGTTGTGTTTCTTCACCATCTTCTTCTTCTCTGACGTCTCCTCCTTCATCTTCATCTTATTGTGTTTTTCAAAAAAGACGAGGAAACTCAACAGCGTAGCTATTTATAAGATCCCCAGTGAAAAAACACAAACCAGATTAGCAACATCAAGAACAAATAATGGTTTGCTACATTTGCTACATCGCTGTACCATAAAAGATAACATTTGCTAGTCCCCTTTTAAGATCAACAGCAAGTTAAAATGACTTTGACAAATTTAAACTAAGGGGAGACATGGGTAACACCTGCATCTAGAAACAACTTATCATACTGTATTAATTATTCACTCAGAATATTACTGAAAATCCGTCAATAGCGCTACAGTCTTTCAAGTGGCAGTTTAATTCAACACATTCATTCAATATTTTAAAGAATAGATTTTTTACAGCATACAAAAAGGTACAAGGTACAAGGTTGTTTTATATCAGCACAAGGCTGCATAATGAAACGAAATTTGTAGTTCCTTCATGCTACATGCACAACATATAATTAAGTGTAGGCCTATATTAAAATATGATAACATATAAAATAAAATAAAAAAACAATATATACAGTTATTTATATACATACACGTATACACCCCGAACATTGCCCAGTGCATTTTTTGAATTTGCATCTGGGGTGAATGTAAACAGCAGCAACCAGATGATAATCTAAAAACATCTACATTTAGCCCATAATATATGAAAAAAAAGATGGATTCAAGCATCAGCTAAAGTATCAGTCTAAAATGTGAATGAAACACAAAATGTTCAGGGAATCAAGCTCCCTTTGGACTCTATCTGTGTACATGTCTGTCAGTGCAAACACTGTCAGTATCTGACAAATGTTTAAGAGGTGCTGATGGGGATTTATTGCAACAGACCATTACAACATTCAGATGTAGTTATATGATCGATGTACAAAAGAAAAAAATATTTCATGTTTTCTCAAACTTTGCATAGTAATGAAAAATATTCAGAAAACATAGACTTCCATTTATAAATAAACAGGCTGTCCTTGCTGCAAACTAGACTGCAGTCCCAGTTTAAACAGCAAATCAAACTCGGCATGAACCTTTGAATCTTTGTAGATCAAAGTCCATCATCTAACCCATTTTGTTGTTTTGCAAATGTTTTTACTGTTTTCATTCTGGCTCGTGGCAGTGGAAGCAGAACAGCGTCCAACTCTATCACAAGGTAATATACTTACAATTACAATAAAACTATTTTAACTTTATTACAGATTAGACACATTCCCATTTAATGTGTGTAGTTGTGGGTTTACTAAATGTACTTTTCAATTAACTAATTAATTAATTATTTTAAATGAATAAAACAACAATCAACATAAAACTGACCACAACTGTAACAGCAGAAAAATAGCACTTTGCCTAACTCTGGTGCATTAACTGAAAGTTTTGTTAATGTGCTCTGTCCCTGTTAAATAAACTAGTACATAAAATGACCAAGCCAACACTATGAGATCTAATATTTACATCACCTAATGCTACATTAGGGTATTGTTTTTTTGGGGGGGGAATAAAGCAGCTGATATGTTTATCATCTCTTCATCTAAAGGGACTTTGTGTTTGGAGCACGCCTTGATCACTCTGTGCTCACTAATGACTGTCTATGTGTGACCTAATTCACACTCGAGCTATTAGTTGGTTAACCTTGTTGATTGACTTTGCATTTTTACATCAGAAGTTCAAGAATATCAATATCTGGTTACTGACTTTTGAAACCATGGGACCTACATTTTGTCATTATATTATCCCACTAGATTTAACGAGGCATCCAGTGAACTGTGAAATGTTTTACAAAGATTTTAAGTCAAGACGGACTCCCATAGTCTAAGTCTTTGTTATATGAATCCTTGCAAGGAATAACAGTAAATCACAGTAAATAATATATTAATAAATAATATAAGATAATAAATAATAAATGCATTAATTATTATATAATAAGAAGTGGCTTATTTAAGAAACAAACACAAAATGGCATTTCATGTATATCTCAAGTGTGTTATTAAAGAAGTGCTAAAAACCACCAGTATCGTATAGTCTAACCTTTAATATGCTTTAGTTAATCAAATGTCCTATGTGCATTTAAATATCCAGAAATTGCATCTTTAATGAAGTAAAAAAAAAAAAAGACATATTGAAGATTTAACAGAATTGATCAGTTTTGTGAGCCTGTGCTTTGAGCCAAGAGTACCATTTTAAACCTTTTGCCTTTGTCCCTCCACACAAGAGGGTGGGGTGGACTTTGACCATTCAAAGCGCTGTCTGTGCCTCCCAATCCTCTGACAGAGCCCAGCTGAGGGTATAAAAGTCCCGAGCTGAAGCTGAGACATCAGTCTCGCCTGAGTACTCGCCGACTCCAAGGGAAAGAGCTTCAACGAACCCATCATGGGGGACTCAAAGCTCTGTCTTTTGCTGCTCCTCAGTACATCTGCCTTGGCTTGTGAGTACTTAGAAGGTTTTTCTTTTAATTGTACGTAGTTTAACTTGCTAATAGGGGTTCTTTGTTTGTTCTTGGGAGTTGTTTGACATAGTCCCTACAGATTTTTTTTTCAGTTTTGCACATGTGTTGTAAGTTTCTGAAAATAAATAAATAAATACATAAATAAAGTTACTAGTGACTGCTCTCAAAAGTTTTTCTATATCTATTTTACCAATTACTGCATATAAAAGTAATTCATTACTAGGGAAATGCTTTAATTTTGTTAGTGTTTTGGGTTGCTGTCGCATACTGTGGGATAAGACACTGTCAAATTAGATCCATCATTGTACCTATTATCAGACTGATTGATTCACGTATTCATCGTGCCGCCGTAGAGTAGGGTGATGTTAGATCATCACCTGGAAAATCCAGAGAATAGGCTGCGTGTGTCTGTTATGAAGACAAAAGTAATTTATAACAAGCTCATTTTAATTTCAGTAATTGTACTTGTGTTATTTAATTAGAAAAACTGCCAAAAGTAGTAGGATTACAGTAATGATGATCATCCACTGTTTTGCTGCAAATTATTTAATCAAATATTTCATAAATTGTATTGTATTCTTTTTCCAAAGTTATAAAAGTATTAGTAGTAAAATATCACATCTGATATTGCAAAAGTGGTTTAGTGTAGCTATGCTATATTTTATTTTATTTAACAGTCAATCTGATTGTTTTCTTTTGCATTAGAGTTATTAAACAAAATCTGACTTTTTTTTTTTCTTAACAGTTGCCCAAGATGAAGATCAGCCCACCTGCCTGCGTAAGTTAACCAGACTACTTTGTTGATATCCAGTCTAGACATTTACAATACTTTTACAGGAGTAAATAGATCGCTTTTACATACAAAATCTCTTCTTAACATTGATTTTCTCTTCTAGTGGCCAAAAGGTACAAAACTTTACACAAGTATGAATACCAATATGAAGCTGAATCTTTGAATGCCATCAATGGAGCCTCACAGCTCAAGAACGGACCCAAGGCCTCTTGCAAGGTCTGAGAAAGATCCTTCAAAATCATTTGTTTTTCTCTTTCCATCTTTTCAGATAGTTAGATAAAACATGTATCTTCTCTCACAGGTTGAAATTGAAGTACCACAGACTTGTAGTTTCATCGTCCGAACCACAGGCTGTAGCCTGAGTGAGGTGGTCGACATGGACGCAGATGGCAACCCTGTGTTCGGTCCTGCACCCAGCTATGATGCCTTTGCTACTGAAATGGAGAAGTATGTTAATTCACGAAAATCCCTGATGGGAAAGATTGTGTTCTTTTTCTTTTTTTGTCTTTCTTAGATTTTGCACTGAAAATTCAAATGACATACACTTTCTTTAAGATATCCTCTGAAGGTTGTGGTTGAGGGTGTGTACGATGTGAAACTGTACCCTGAGGATGGTGAGACAACAACCATTCTGAACATCAAGAGGGGTATCATCTCTGCCCTGGCCGTGCCTCTGCTGGAAGAAGACAAGAATAGGAACATGGTACATTGATTAACCAAGAAAGTTGAAAAAATCTGTATATTTTAGTACCATGCTGATATTTACAGTGTGAAAAAAATCTGCCTGAAGCACATATGATTTTTTCCCCATCCATTTCAGCCCACTATCCACGGCAAGTGCAAGACCTATTACACCGTCAATGCTAGAGAGGATATTGCAACTGACATCAGCCTCAACAGGGATCTGTCCAGATGTGACAAATTTGTCCCAATCAGAGATCACAACAGCCCACTGGCACTTATATCTGGCATGGTAAGATATCCAAACCTCATTGTCAGTGAGAACATGAACATGATTAAAAAAATAGGTACCTCATGACAGCTTTTACATTACCCACATTTATGAGTAATTTTTGTAAATGAGGGGAAAAATAGAAAAAAGATAACATAAGCTGAGCTTTAATAGCAACAAAGATAAAACAAGGCACCACCTAAAGAAACTCAATGTTTCTTCCAATCCAACAAAAAGTGTGAAACTTCATTACAAACTATATTTGAATGACAAGTGGTATCTGACAAGTGCAGGCTAACTTTTAACTAATTTCAATGAATCCACTACATTAACAATATTACTGATTTTCTATTTTCAGCACTACCCTCTTGCCCAGCTGGTCAGAAGCTCACAGAGCTGCAACTACAAGTTCGACAATGAGAAGAAACACATGACCTCTGGGTCCTGCACTGAGAAACACATCCTCATTCCCTTCTCTCACAAGTGAGTCAAACCTTATACTAGAATCTGTGAAATGCTCTAAGTGCACATACTCATGTGCAAACGCTCTACAGAACTTATAATGATGCATTTTCATCCTACAGTGGAGAATATGGAGTTACAAATGTTGGAAATCAAGAAGTGACTCTGGTTCAGGTTTCTCCTCACAATGAAAGAGTCTTTGAACGCAGTAAGCCCTTTGTTTTCATTTTTAATTGATGGTTTCAAAATTCACTAAATGTAGTATTAACTCATCCCATCGATTTACTTGTGTTTCATAGGTGACATTGTCAAGGGTCTTCACATGGAGGCTGTCGAGGACAAGAATGCTGTCCAGGACAAAGATGCAGGTCTGAACCTCCTGAATGAACTGGCCACTCTGCCTGAGACTGAGGGTGAGAGGAGGGCCCACCTCTTCCACAAGCTCGTCACCATGGTCCGTGGAATGAAGGCTGAGACCCTGATTCCCGCCATTCCTGAGGCTCTTGCAATGTCCCGTGTCCTGACCTACCAGGTTCTGGTCCAGTGCGGAACTCCTGAGTGCAGCAGCGCCATCATGCAGATCCTCAGGACCTTTGACAGCTCCTCCCTCGAAGTTGATGCCAGTGTTTTTGCTATGGGACTCATATCCAATCCTTCTGCCCTCCTGATCAATGACATGCTTGAGATGGCCAAATACAAACACAGCAAGCCCATCATGTATGCCCTGAGCAATGTTGTCAAAAGGTGAGTGAAGTCCACCACACTTTATTCTAAATATCTGAATCCCATTTCAGCATTTAAGCTTTTCCTCTATTTGTGTAAAATAAGGCTTTGAATTCTAAATTTCCATAAAAAAAAATCTTCAACAGGTATTACAAAGCTGAAGGAAAACTGATCCCAGAGATTCACTCTGTTGCTGAGTTCATGGCTGCCCAGTTGGGTGACTGTTCTGATGACAGTGACAAAACCTTCATGACGCTGAGAGTGGGTAACCGTTTGTATAGATCAACATTTAAATGACTGGCAACATCAATAAGCAGAATATTAATGTGTGCTTTGATTCTAGGTTATTGGAAACATGGCTTCAGCTGTGGGACCTGCTAGTCCTGCACTCAGAGCCGCTGTGATCCAGTGTGTGAACCAACCTGCAGCTTCCCAGGCTGTGCAGGAGGCTGCCATTCAAGTGTACAGGTTGACTCCCGTCCCAGACGAGGCAAGTCAAATTGTGTAATGAGTTTCACAGGTTATCTGAATTTCTACAATGTGCTCATTTTATTGATCTTGTTTGATCACAGGCCAGAGAGGTTCTCATGCAGGTACTTTTGGACAATGCCAGTCCCATGCAAAAGCGTATTGCTGCATATCTGGTACTTATGAAGGACCCCCAGCCCACTGAACTGGCACAGCTGGCTAATGCCTTGCCCAATGAGCAGGACCAACAAGTCAAGAGTTTTGTGATCTCCCACATTACCAACATTTTGTCTTCAACTGACTCAGAGACCCAACAGTAAGTGAAAATCAGTTGCAGCTTTATATTTATATTTTTCAAATCTGTTGTTTCACTACATGGTTAGTAGGTGCGGCAATTTGATCACCATCAGGTGTTTAACTGTATTTTTACACTTTTTTGCATTTTTGCATTTTCTTCCTGCAGACTAAGACAGAAGATCCGTGATGCCCTGCAGGGTAATGAGATCGGGCCCATCATGGACCCAACCAAGTTTTCTCGCAACTACAAGATCGGATCTGTGGAGGGCAACATGATCTTTGAGGGTACCAGCTACCTGCCAAAGGAGGTCATGCTTGAAATGACTCTGAAGGCATTTGGCTATGACATTGACATGATGGAGGTAAATATTTTGAGCTGTTAATCTAAACTGTGCTTTGAGACGATTTTTCATTAAGATAAGTTGTGACTGTGAAAACTTTGTTACCTTTACAGATTGGTATGGAGGGAAAAGGATTTGAGCCAACTGTTGATGCCCTGTTTGGAGAGAATGGCTTCTTCCCCGACACTGCCCTGAAGACAATGTACTTTGTGTCTGACAACATGCCACTCAGAGTCACTGAGATCCTGCAGAACATGCTGCCTGCTCTGAAGAAGGACAGAATGAAGAGACAGGTACTCAGACCACTCTCTTTGTACCCATTAATTTGACTAAAACCAACATAATGATCAATCCTTCCAAAAGGATAACATCTTTTACAGAGTGTGCATGTTGTTGTTATTCAGGCCTCCCAGAACCTGATGAGGGACATCGGACGCAACTTCAACAAACTTGTGAGGGAAATTAAGACAGAGTCTCCCGAGGCAATGGTTTACCTGAGACTTTTGGGAAATGAGTTGGGATATCTGAAGACCAATGAAATCACAGAGATGGCCTACTCTGCTGTCATGATGATTGACAGCATGTTCAAGATGTTCCCAACTGATGTAAGGAAGTTATTCGTATTTTTTTAGAAGAAAAGCTGACAATGAAACAATGCATTAATTTAGAAAGTCCTTGTTTATGATTTAAATGTCCTATGTGTATTTTTATTTGCCACAGCTAATGAAGGCACTGATGACCAAGGATGACAACACAATCTTTGCCCACTACATCTTCATGGACAATGAATTCTTCCTGCCTACTGTCACTGGTGTGCCTCTGAGGATTGCACTGTCTGGTACTTTCACCCCTGGCATCAAGGGTGGACTTAAGATTGCTCCTGACATGGTAATTATATTTAAAACTCTTTGAGAAAGTGTGTTTTACAACATGCTAAATGTATAGTTTTCTATTACACAGAAGTCACCTATGTGTATTTTGTTTTCACAGAGTGACGTCACCTTCATGCCCTCTGCTGGAATTGAGTTTGTAACTCAGGTTGGCTCCCACATCCCTGAATATGTCAACTCTGGATTAGAGATGCACACCAGCATTTTTCACGAGAGTGGGCTCAGTGCCAAGATCTCCGTGGGTCGTGACAATCTAAAGCTGACCATCCCTGCTCCACCAAGTCCAACAAAGCTCATCAAAATGACGTATGTCCAAATACAACTTTCAGATATTATACAATTCTTTCCACTCTAATTGCAAGTGCAAGAGTTGTAATGCAATTGCTAACCCCGCAAACCTGAAATATAAAGGGGACAGTGTTGTTTCACTATTTCAGTTAAAGATACATGTGTTTGTAACTTCTGTTCAACATTTTCTTTGTGTAATCACGGCCACGGCAACTTTTCTATATCCAAACTAAAACAGCCGTTTTTATATTTGAACTTTGCTACACTGAAAATTTAGAAACACCCTGGTGGCAGTGACTGGATTAGAGGTGAAGACCATTCCCCCTATGGTGATGGACAAGGTTGACTTTAGTGAGTGCACTCCCTTCTTTGCTGGAATGAAATACTGTACTGATCTGCAGTACATTGATGCTTTCTCTCAAGAGACGACCCCCTACTTCCCCTTCACTGGAGACAGCAAGTGAGCAACACTCTTTGAATCACCATTTAAATTAAAATAAATTACCTATGAATATTGGCTAATTAATTTGAATTATCTAAATAGATTTGCTGTGGAGCTTCATCCCACTGGTGAAGTCACTGAGTACACAGCCACTGTTGCCTACGAGCTCCTCAGGGAGGGAGAAGAAGGCCGGCAGAAGGTTGACTCTGTGAAGGTCATTCTAAGGGCTGAAGGTAAGGTACAGAATTGAAAAATCTTTCTAATGTATTACCAGCTCGATTTAGGAAAACACTTAAGTGTGTAATATTATTCTGTCGGTTGGTCAACAATAGGTGCAGATCCCACTGAAGCCAGAGCAATCATGAAATATAACAGAAAGAAGAATGTCATCACAGCTGACATCCAGATCCCTGACTACGATGTGGAGGCTGGAGTCAGGCTGGGTGTTGTTGATGGAAACACTAAGGGCAAAGGAACTCACTCCATCTCTCTTGACTTGCTAAACAAGAACATCCCTCAGCTCTCCTTGGTTGGCCGTGCTAAGTAAGTAATCCACCATGAAACCTCATGATTAATGTCACCCTCATCATTGAGAATAGACTAACTCAATGTTAATTTTTTTCAGTCTGAAGGCCATGAAGGAAGGTATGCTGCAAGTCCAACTTCTTGTACCCTCGATCAATGCTGACGCCTCTGTCACAGCTAACTTGAAACGTGATGAAGAGTTGGAATTGGAGCTTAAGAGTGAAATCAAGTTTGCGGACATCACCTCTGAGCAGGAAATTGCAATTAAATATGGTAATGTAATTTTCCAGTTATCCTTTTTTTCAGAATAATACATAACCATTAATTCAATAGTTGCTTACTTCTTAGAGAGGTCCATACAAAGGTAACTACATCTGGCATTATCAGAATTGTGGTTAAAATTTGGAGCCCAAAATATGGGGCCAAAAACCAATTTTGTTGTCCATTTAAAGGATAATGATAGGGCTAATAGGCAATTAACAAGACAGTACAATGATCGACAATCTTGATATTGATATTAAGTTACAATATTATGATAATAAATGATAATAAATTATTGTTTAAGCTTCTCACATTGTAGTCATATACCAGCAACAACAACAATATACATCATAAATAATATATAGCCTAATTATTTTAAATAGCCTAAATATATAAATCTTCATAGCAATAGCAACATCTTAGAAGAAAAAAATAAGAACTATTAGCAATTACAAAACATTAGGTAAAATAAGTTTAAATTGCAAATATCTTCTTTTCAACACTATAACACTAATATGAATACCTGGCCCGAAAGTGCAATAGATGGGTGAGCTTGTATATATAATTTATTTGAAAACGCTAACATGGCTTCAAAACCCATGTGTTCTTTGTCATAATGGCAACAAAAGCTCTCAACAATAGATTCATATAAGTTATTTAATGATTTTTATGCTGTCTCTTTTTATAAGTTTGTAATGAAGACTAGAGTATCAGTCACAATGCCTTTTCAGATTTTGTAATAAGAATTCTCCTTTAAAGAAATTTAGGGTTAGTGGGAGGAATAACATATGGTTCACTGAAGAGTTAAGATCTATGATGAGAGAAAGAAATGTTGCATGGGGCAAAGCTCAAGCCACAAATTGTACCGCTGACTGGACAGCTTACAAAACTTTAAGAAATAAATGCACAAGCATGACCAGAAAAGCAAAATCAGATTACTATCTAATAAATGTGACCGAAAATCACAATAACCCCTCTAAATTCTGGAAGCAAATTAAGTCTTTGTCTGGTTCCAATTCTTCAGGTCTCCCACAACATATTTTTGTAAATTCAGTTGAAATTAAAAACAAATTTAACATAATTGGACATTTTATCAATCACTTTGTATCAGCTGGCTGTATTTTCAGTGAGTCCAAATCAAGTTATCATTGCTCTGACTCCAGCACTGAAACACCACCGGAAACTTTTGTTTTTTAGACCCAGAGGATTAGAGGATTTCTGTATTTCTCTTAAAGCTATTGACACAAAAAAAACCCATCAGGACCAGACAACCTAGAAATTATAGCTAAGCCTATAGCATATATTTTTAATTGTAGTCTGCAGACAAATTCAATCCCCAAATTATGGAAAGCAGCCTATGTGTTTCCCTTGCAAAAGGGTGGCGACCCTTCAGATCTTCACAATTATAGGCCAATTTCCAAACTCTCTATTCTTGCAAAAATTTTGGAAGCAAGTCAATTAAAAGAATACTTGGCAGAGCACAACATTCTAACTCATGTACAGTCAGGCTTTAGAGCTGGACACAGCACTGTTACAGTAACTTTGTTGCTATTAAATGACATTATAAATGCCTTGGACAAAAAGCAACACTGCGCTGACTTATTTGTGGATCTGTCCAAAGCATTTGACTCTGTTGATCATGAGCATTTGCTAAATAGATTAAGTAACATTGGAATAGGAAACACAGCAATCAATTGGTTAAAAAAATATCTTACAGAATGAACGCAATACGTTTCTATAGATGGTTTTAAATCAGACTTTTTAGAGATTTCCATAGGTGTTCATCAAGGTTCGATTTTAGCCCCTATTTTATTTTCTATATTCATAAATAGAATTGGAAAGGACGTGCAAACTACTGAACTGCACCTTTATGCAGATGATACTGTGATATATTCAATTGCCCCTTCACTGAACCAGGCCATAAATGACCTTCAGTTAGCCTTTCAACACCTTCAAGTCTCACTACATGTCCTCAAGTTAGTGCTAAATACTAAGAAAACCAAATTTATGATGTTTTCAAGGGCTCATTCCCAATCCACAGATAATATAACTATTAACACACTAAATGGGGACTTAATTGAAAATGTTTCATCCTATAAGTATACACTTTCTTTCAAAGTTCATATAGAAAAGCTCGTAAAACTGCTGAAACTAAGGCTGGGGTTTTACTTTAGAAATAAGCCTTTTTTTTAACACGATAGCCGGGAAAAAAATTGCGCAGGCTATCTTTTTAAGTGTTTTGGACTATGGTGATGTTGTCTACATGCACGCTGCCTCTAGTACTCTCCACCTTTTAGATTCTGTGTACCATAGTGCTGCTCTTTTATGAAAAGCGCTGTGAGATAACTGTTGTTGTGATTTGGCGCTATATAAATAAAATTGAATTGAAAAAATACTTAGTACCCAATCAATGCAACACTACCCTTGACTCAAAATATTTAAAAGTACTTTTACAACTACTTTTTAAAAAAAAAACTTGCATGATATATGTTGTACAGCGAGATTATCAAACATTCCTTGCTTGATCACATTACATGCACCTCCTTAGACTTAGACATTTTCTGCTATCTATGATGTAGTCACTAGGAACTACACTTCCAACCACCGTGTTTGCGAACATTTGTCAGAACTATGGTTTTGGGTAACACCTGCGTAGCTTAACGGTGGTTCATACCATGTAAGTTACAAAAATAGTTATCTCCATAGTTACAACTAGAGTTCTGGGAAACAGTTGCTTCACAAATGCATAGTTCCAACTACGGAAGTTGCATGATATATGTTATTGTAAGCAATGATGCTTTTGGAAAACGCACCCCAGAATGATTATTTCTGCCAACCATACCGAACATACAGCGGTCAAGCCAACAACAATTTAGTTGAAAACATGCCATTTTGCCTGGGAGAAAATGCTACATTTCACTTTTTTTTGCAGTAACTTTATTCACAGCTTAACTGTAACCTGGGTTTTAGAGGAATATTTCTTAATGTCTCAGGATTTGATTAATTGTTCTCTATTGTTGCAGATGTCAGCAAGGTTGAGGTTGAGGTCAAGTCTGATGTGAACACTAAGACCACCAGCGTGCCAATGACTGATATAGTTGAGAAGTATGGCAACCAACTTCTTGACACGCAGGTGGGGCAGACCGACATGAAGGTCCGTCACATCTTCAAGAAGTTTGTGGAGGTATGAATCTTGGTTTTAACAATTATTCAGATTTTCTTTGGTAAAAATGTGAAGCAGGCATAAAACAATGACTGTCTTTTTTTCTTAGGCAGGAAAGAATTACATGGAAAAGTATGGTGTTGATATCCCTTTTATTCAGAACTTCCGAGTACCTGAAATGCCTGACATTTCTGTGCCAGAGACACTGTTCCTGAATACGTAAGTGTGAACAACTCCATGATAAATGTTTAAATCATTTGAATTATGCTACAAAACATGTATGCATTTCCTTTTGTCTTTTCAACAGTGAGGCAAAGGCTGTCTACCACTTCAATGACGAGCAACTCACCATTGCTATCCCACTCCCTTTTGGAGGAAAGTCAACAGAAGAGCTTAACTTCCCACCATCTCTGACCACACCTCACATGTCTGTTCCCCAGTTTGGACTGGAGATCGTCTCCATGAAGATTCCCATCCCAGAGCTCGCTGTCCCTGAAAGTCTTATTTTGTCTATTCCTCTTTTTGGCAAAGCTGAGGTTTCAACTCTGATGAGAAGCAACCTATATGACATGGAAGCCTCAGTGGCTGTTGGCAAAGATGTTGTAGAGACACCAAGCTACTCAGCTAAGTTTGATGTGAAAGGAACCTCCCCAGTTGACATCCTCTCCATAAACATTGAAGGTATTTCATAGGAAACATTATTTATATATTTAGAATTTGTTATGTTGTTCATCCTTAACCCACAGTTAGAATTATATGTTATTAAGTCTTGGTAGGACAGTTTTCAGTTAATTCAGTTTCCTCTGAATTCCTGTTACAATTGTGTTCTCTGATAAAACTACACTAAACTAGCATATTGTGTATATTTCTGTTAAGTATATTGTATATGAGCAAATTCATCTCCATGTGTTGTTAAAAGTAATCACACAGTTATCAGTTATCAATCGTCTTTTCTTCTTCTGTGTTTTATTTAGGCTCAGGAATGTTGGCCACCACTGATTCCATCAAGGCCCAATTGAAAAGCTCTTTGGCCCATAAATTCATTGAAGCCAGTATTAGTATTGTTGAGGATGCAACCATCACAGACAAAATCAATTTGAAGTCAAGCAGCAAGATTGAAGCCACAAGCCCGTTTGGTCTCAGTATTGAACTAGAGCACACTGGTATGGCTGGAATCAACACTGAAGAAATCTCTGCTGATAGCAACTTTGAGGGAATGTTCAAGGCTGGACCCATGTATGCCAAGACCATTTCTATCCAGTCATTCAGCATCTTCCCATTCTGGCCAGAAGCAAAGATTGATTCCACTGTTCAGATTGACTCCACCATTGTTAAGGCCCAAAACACAATTAAAGCAACCCTTTCCAATGGTGAATTCTCACTTGGGTCTGCCACCAACGTCTTTGAAGACACCTTGACCCATGTTGCTGAGCTTTCCTTCAAGGACAACAGGCTGTCACTGAAATGTGATGCAAATGCCCTTACTCTTGGTATGAAGATCCGCAACCAGGCTGAAGCCTCTGTTGGTGCTGGGGAAGTCGCTATGAGAATGGAGACAAATGCAGACCACTCTGACAACCGTGTTTACTCACTGCTGACTGCCTCTCTTGATGTCAATGGTCTAGATTTAAACAGTGATGCCACCGTGAAGCTTCTTGAGAATGAGGCTACTCACAAGGCTACTCTGAGAATGAACAAGGACGGGTTGACCACAAGTGGAACAACCACTCTCCAGAGCCCCCTGTCCTTGGAAAACACCTTCAATGCTGGGCTTGATGCTTCAAGGGCTACTCTATCCATTACTAACAAAGCTGCAATTCATGACATCAAGGTAGATAATGCCAACACTCTTGTAATTACTCTCTCTAGTCTTGACTTCAACTCAAAGGCTGAAGCTACAAGTGAGTATGCCTCTTACACCCATGATGTCACCATTGACGTAAAACCCTACACTGCGTCTGCAAATGTTAATAACAACCTGAAACTTCTGGCGGCCAACTTCATTAATGAGGCTCACCTGCAGGCAGAGCTGTACAAGATGGACCTGACTGGAAGCCTGAAAGCCATCTATGGTGAGGAAGAGATCAAGCATACCTATCTGGTAAATTATGATGATATGACTACTAATGTAAAGTGCAGCACCACTGGAAAACTCTTTGGAACTCACATGAGCCACAACACCGAGCTTGAAGTTATCGGTCTTGCTGCCAGGATCACCAACAATGCCCGCTTCAACTCACAGCTAATGCGCTTTGACCACACCATCCATTGCAGTTTTGTGCCTTTTGATTTCAACCTTGATGCCATTTTCAATGCTGATGGAGACATGTCCATGTATGGAAAGCACAGTGCCCAGATCTATGGCAAGTTCCTCCTCAATGCACAACCCTTGGCTTTTGCTAGCTCACATGAATGCAGAGCATCAGTTACCCAGCGGCTAGATAATGGTTTTTCCCTTGAGACCACATTTGACAACAAGATGGATAATGTTCTGTCACTCCAAGAGCAGAAGTCCAGTTTTAGACTGAGGTCTAAAGTAAACGAGCATGCTTTTAATCAGGGCATGAGTGTTTACAATGAACCGGAGAGAACAGGAATTGAGGTTTCTGGCACCATCCTCACAAACATACTCAACACCGCCTCTGCAGAGAACCAGGAATTCGCCATCTCTGGCTTCCTCAAGTATGACAAGAACACAGATAGTCACATAATTCAGTTCCCTCTTATTGAAAATCTGCCTGCCTTTTTGGAGAACATCAAGGGCATTGTTGTATATATTGCAGAGGGATTGCAAAACTACATCAACAATGAGGAGATAAGGGCTAAACTTGAGGCTCTTCCCCAGCATGTGAGTGACTTTGTTTCTCAGATGAATATAGAAGGCAACCTAATTAAGCTGAAGCAGTATTTCAATAATTTCGCCCAAGAATATGTCATCTCCATGGAGGATGTAGAAGCCTCTTTGAGAAACCTGAAGGTTTCTGTTGAGAAACTGCTGGCTGATCTCACTGTTTACATCCAAAACTTTGCTGGTATGGCGAAGGACATTTTTGCTAGTGGCACCCTCCCAGACACCCTCATTCAGAAGACCCAGCAACTGCTTAATGCCATTAATGAGGAGTATGACATAAAGGCTATCGTTATCTATGTAATTGATACCATGAGGGAGATGATCCAACAGATTGACCTGGAAAAGCTGAAGGGCAGCAGCATCTCATTCCTTCATGATATTGATGCAAAGTATGAAATCGTGGCTAAACTACAGACAATCATGACTGAGTTGAAAGAAACGATTGAGTCCGTTGACATGCAGGCATTTGCTGCTGAGCTGAAGAGGTACATTTTATCCATCAACTTTAAAGCTCATATTGAGGAATTACTGAGTCAGATTCCCACAGAAATGTTCAGTGATATAACAAATTATATTAGGGAATTTATTCAGGACTTTGACATCCTCGGTAAGATCCACACATTCTATGCCAAGATCAGAGAATTGATTGTAAAGTTTGAGGCTGACAGAAAGGTTCAAGCTGCCTTGGAAAAGGTTGTGGAGCTCATCAAGAAGTTCAGAATTGAGGAAACCATCAGTGTCTTTGCCGAGATGGTAAAGGACATCCCGACCACATTCATGCAGGTATTCGATAGTGCTATCATCTACTTGAAAACAACTGATGTTAAGGATATAATTCAAGGGCTGAAAATGTGCATTGAAATTGTTGTGCAGACACTGAATTCATTGGACTACAATTCCTTTGTTGAGAATGCCAATCAAATTATTGCTTGGTACACAGTTTATGTGAATGAGCTAATCAGGGATCTTGAAATACCCCAGAAACTTGAGGCAACAATAGATTTTATCAACCATGTCTTATCTCTTGGTAGAGTCTTTATGGAACACCTGAGAGAAATCAAAGTTGCACAATCTGTAACGGTTGTGTTTGATAACCTTAAAGAATTTGCTGAATTTATAAAACAAAAAATTACAAACTTTGATGCCAAAGCTGATATTACCTCTTATCTGGCCTTTGTGAGTAAATACTACACAAGAGTCATAACTATCATCACAGATACGTTCACTAATGTGTTTGAAATGATTAAGAAAGTGGCACCTGAGCAAAAAATCATCAGCGAGATTCAACAAATCATTTTTGGACTCACTGCTGAACTCAGGAAAGCTGAGTTAAACACGCCTTCCTTCATCATTCCTTTCACTGATCTTGTTGTGCCTTCAATGAAGTTCTGTATGGATAAGCTTGAACAGTTTGAGATCCCAACACAGCTGGACATTCCTGAGTTCACAATCCTGAGCTTCCACACTGTAAAAGCCACCACAATTTCCTTTGATGACATCAAGCAGAGAATCATTGAAGTTATTAATTTCTTTATAAACTTTGGAAACAAAATGCGTGATGTAGATGCCATCTTTGAAGACCTGACTTTGAACTACCTTCCTTCAATGCCTGAGATAACCCTCCCAGAAATCACTCTTCCTGAGGTTTCATTCCCTACAATCCCACAAGTCCCTGCAGAAAAGCTTGTTAAGTCTCTTCAGGTTCCTAAGATCAAGCTGCCAACCATTCCAAGTGAGATCATGGTCCCATGCTTTGGTAAACTCTATGGTGAGATCAAATTCCATAGTCCCATCTACACCGTCAAGACGTCTGCTGAGTTCCAGAACTCCACTCAGGATGAAATTAATCCTATATTCACTGGAGTCCTTAATTCCGAGGCCACATCTTCAAGTTTTGAAATTCTCAATTACAAACTTGACTCCACTGCTCGTATTGCAATCCCAAAAATGAGCCGTGTTGTATTTGCAGAGACTCTTAAATTTAACCATCTTGCTCTTGGAGTTGAACATCAGGCATCTGTAACTCTCTATGGCCCATCAGCCATGGCCCAAGTCAAAACTACAATTAAGGTTACCACTACACCGTACAGAGCTGACTTCATGGAGATAGCCTTTATTGGTATAGAAGAAGGAATGTCTGCCTCTCTCGATACAGCTTATACTCATGTTCTGGACCTCCCAAGTGTTGATGTCAAAAGTGAGGTTACTTTAACCCAGAAAGCAACTGTTCGTCAAGATGGCTTCACCCTCACTCTAGCAGCTGACCATTCAGCCACTGGCAAGTTTAATGATGATGATGGCAACCACAAGAGCAACTTGAAAATGTCCCTCTCTCCAAGCACTTTCACTCTAACTTGCTCTGGTGATACAGACTCTACCATCTTAAAGATGAAACAGCATATTACTGCTGAATCTGGCACCTTCTCATACATCAAGTTTAATGTCCGCAATGAGGCAGAGTCATCAGTCATTAAGAACAGTACTTTTGTGGCATCTGGACAAGGCAACCTTTATGATTTGAAGGTTGAGCTGAAAGCAACCCATCACACAGAACTGTCTGGTACGGTCACTGGAGTCCTGTCCAATGAACTCAACCTTGTAGCCCGTCCTGTTGAATTTCTCTTTGAATTCCAAAACAAAGGAAATGCCAAGGTCAACATTTTTAACGAGCTGTCTGCTAAGATAGATCTGCAGAATGATTACTCAGCCATCTTCAAACCCGACAGCCAACAGTTAAACACCTTAGCTCTGGCCCGTCTTAATCAGTACAAAATGTTCTACAACTTCACTGTTGACAATAATGAAAATGAGGCTGGCATCTTTGTTGACATGGAAAGTGAGGCCAATCTTGACTTCCTTACATTCCCCATCAGCATTCCTGAGATTGACCTGCCTTTTGTTGATATCCGTACTCCAGCTATCAGTGACCTGAACTTGTATGAGCAGACTGGACTGAATAACATTTTGACGACCACTGAGCAGACTGTGGATGTGGATGCCAAGGTTGTTTACCAGAAAAGCCAGGCTGGCCCTGTTGTTGATATGATGGGTCTGATCCAGATTCCCTCTGTGGGTAATCTGATCACAGAGCTATCTTTCAAATCTGCCATCATTAATCTGAATGTCAATGCTGGACTGTATGCTGAGGATGATCTCGTGTTCCGTCTGGGAGCTTCCACAGCCTCTGTGTTTGAGGGTCTAAAAGCCAAACTTGATGGCACCACCAGTCTGACCACCAAGAGAGGAATCAAGTTGGCCAATTCCCTGTCCCTTGAAAATCGTCACATTGAAGGCACTCATGACAGTACAGTCAGTTTGAGTACTGAGACTTTTGAAAGTGCTGTATCTGTGGCTACTTTTGCAAAGATTGCCTTGCCTATTCTCAACCTGGAGGCAAACCAAAATCTGGTTGCAGACACCAAAAGCAAACTAAACGCTGTCTCCACCCTGAAGATGACAGGGGATATCAACATCCCCGTGATCAAGGCTGTTGGAAAGGCTGAGACAGACCAAAGTCTGAAGCTGGAGGGAACCCTTGACTATGTTTCCTTGGAGTCATCTACAAAGGCAAACATGGATGGAACAGTGCTTGATGACTATCTAGTTTTGGGAGTCCTGGATAACGACGTTAATCTGTATCTGAACAATAATGGCCTACGCTCCACCTCCAAAATGATTGCTGATGCCAAGGTTAACCACGGCACCACCAAAATCATTGGCCTGGATGTAAATGAGAATCTTGCTGTTGAAGCCTCCCTGAGCCGTGTGTATGCAGTGCTGAAGTATACTAGCAACAACGAAGCAAACTTCTTTAATTTCAACACCAATGGGAAGCACATTGCCCAGGCTGCAATTGATATTGCACCAACCTTTTCCTTTACTGCTGATGTTGAAATAGATATATCTCAGCCAAGCAGCCTGGGTGACTTCACCATCTATAAGAAAGCTGCTGCTGAAGTGACAGCTGCCAAGCAGAAGTTCTCTAACAATGTAAAGTTTGTCAGCCCACTGTACACCACAAACCTGGCAGCTGAAGCAGAGGGCATTGCTCCTGTCTTCACATTCACCTCAAAGTCCTCTGCCACCTCTGTCATTGTGCTCTTGGAATATGACATGGATGGTGAGTTGATGAAATTCCCTAAATCTATTTATTTGTTTCATGTTGCAAGCATTGTAGAGCACTAAATCTTACTAAATTTCTTTCAATAGCTTCTTTTACTGCAAACTTTGAGAATGAAGCTGTGAACATGATTACCAAGGTTGACCTAACACATGCTGACCTGAGCTTGGATGTCAACCATGTCATTACCCAAGCCCTGAGGTAATATTCTGCGTTTGTTTTACAATACATTGTATGTTAAATAATATCTTCTGATATTAAAGGTTTAAAGTATTAACATATTTTCTTCAAATTTTAGGAGAAAGCGCCAGGCTGATGACAGGTACATTTTCCATTCATACTGTTTTTTCTCATTTTCATCTTGACAATTTAATTTAATGTGTAAAAATCCGACTCCTTCCTATGAAATACAATCAAAAAAAATTTATTGTGACTTCTTTGAAATGCTTTCTTTCTCTTCCAGTGCCTCTCGCCACACCTTGAATGTGGACATCACCAGTCCTACATTCACTGATGTGAACCTTCGTTATGCTGCTCGCAGAGATGCTATCAGTGCCTCAGTGTCTACCCCCTCCAGTGGCTTCCTGGGCCTTCAGTTCAGTGGCAAAGTCCCATCTCAGATGATTGCAAGGGTCTATGGTCGTTATCCTGTAAGTATCATAACATTAACTTTTTGATACGATGGTAACAAAATACTAAAATCAAAATATAAATAATACAATATTTTTTTCAATTCAACAGTCTGCCCCAGAGGTTGATGTTGACATCTTGGTCATCAGATCATCTTCTAAGGATGCTGATAAGATGAACCTGCAGATTGCCTACAACATGGAGGCACCCAAAGAAATGCTCTATGAACTCAAGACAAGACTCCCTTCTATCATCTCTACAGTCACAATGTTTGCTGACAAGTACCAGATCACAAGGAACATGGAAGAGTTGAAAAACACTTTTGTTAACCGCATCAGTGAGGCCTATGATGCTGCAATCAACTATGACGCTCGACTGACCGAGCTGTCAATCTTCTTCAGGAACATCATTGTCCAGTACCAGAAAACTGTCCAGGTCTTTCTGGATGCTGTCATCAAGGGCTTGAGGGAGACCCAGTTCAAACTGCCAAACTCTGATGAGATGACCACTCTCCCTGAGGTCCTAAAGAAGCTGACCAGCAGCATTGCTGCTGTGCTAGAGATGACCCTCCAGAGAATCTATGAAAACACAGAGGTCTACTATAACTCCTTTCTTGAGAACATCAACAGTGTAAAATTAAATATGCCAGTCGGCGATGCAATCACAGTAGGCCAGATTTTGGATCAGGTCAAAACAGCTTTCAAGAAAATCTTTGATGAACTGGTGGACTTTGTGAAAAATATGGAGAGTCTTGACACAATGCTGGTGAAAATGGGTGAGACCCTTAAGGCTGTTGTTGAGAAATCACAGGAGTTTGTTGATTCTGTCAATTCTGACTATTTAGATGCAGTGTTCATCAACATCAATGAGCTCTATCGTAAATTAATCACAGTCACAAAGAACGTTGTTGAACAGATCTCTGCCCTAAATATGGAGCAGCTCAGCAATGCATATGAATTCATTATAGACATGTTCATTCAAATAGTTCACCAGTTCAATATCACTGTTCATGGTTTGCTGCAGCAAGCTTCAGAGGAGGCTCAAGCCTACATGAAAGTTAGTGATGGAAGGCTTGAGATTGACCTTCCATTTCCCTTCCAACAGTGAGGAACCCTCAAACTGTGGCAAGTATGGACAATTAGCTCTTTAACCATATTTATAATAATGAGTTTAACAAAAACACCTGTAACATTTTAATTTGGATGGTGTATTGTGTACAAAGATTGAAAATGTAAAGTTTTACTGAAACTCTCCTTCCTCAAAAGAGTGAAAGATGTCAATAAAATACATTTTATTGAAATCTGTAAATCTCTGATTTCCTGCTTCACGATGTTCTTTGGAATTCACATCCAAATTTTACATAAATGAGAATAAATCAAACTATACACAAAATGGTATTATTTAGTGTTACAGCACAGTTTGCATTTATTTACAGTGATGATTCAAGGATGTGTTGGTGACTGAGGATCTGAGAAACTGACTAAGTACCTGAGATAGTGAGGTCCCTAAATGTTAGTGATGTGGATGGAAATTCTTGTACACTGTATTCTTGAATGTTTACAAATGTGTACTTTTCTCATCTAAATATGCAGTAGGTCATGCAAGCCACAATTTTTTTATATCAGCAACTCAACCCCCAGACCAATCCATGCGACATAACTGCATTTTAAAAATAAGTTTCACTAAACATATATATATATATATATATATATATATATATATATATATATGAAAAGAAACTGTCCATGAATTTTTGTACAAAATTTAAAGGCATCCTTTTCAATCCAGTTGTTGGACTGACAGACCCAAAGACTGACCAATCAACCGACTGAAAGATGTTGCCATCCAGAGAGCCGCTGGCATGGCTAAAAACGGGTGGTTACTGTAAAAAGTACAAAGTGCAAACAGTATGAGTAGTCAGAGGATTTACCTAGTAACAGCTTATTAAATGGTACAAACATTAAAAGTTTTTTTCCCGATGATCTCAAATGCTTTAATGACGAAAGGCAACCGAGGCACTGGTTGAAACGTTTAAAGCCTTTGAAGCGCCTCTCTATATCTTTCTCATGCTCTGCAATGAAACAGAGAGCATACAGTCGAGAATTACAGAATTACAACCATGATTACAACTCATGTGCTGTTGATAGCACAGAATGCTATGTGGGCTTTAGAACTGTCCTGCATCTACAATTTTAAATTTTCCACTGTTTCCACAAATTACTTTTCAGGACTTTTTCCCTCCTCAAAACAGATGGTCAGAGGATCCAAGGGGACAGTGATTACTTGAACCATTAGAAAGATCAAGATGTATAACAAGTTAAAAAAAAGTCCAAGTCCACTAAGATGGGTGCTGGACATAAAACATTCTATGGTCAGGCACTCGGACCTTGAAGGAGGGTTCATTTCATTGCTGCTCTGCCAAGCTACCAAGAAACGTTACTATTACTGTCTATATAAATACAGTCTATGGTTTACACACACACACACACACACACACACACACAGACAGGTGAATGGTAAAGGAAGATAGATTCATCCTAGTGAGTAAGAGTGAAACTGAAACTGTAAAGCCTAGTTCACACTACACAATTTTTAGCCCGATTTGCTGCTCTGCTAGCTCAGAGACCGTCAGGCTGTGATGCATCAGAACGGCTCCCCGACACATTTCTGACACATCGTAAATGTCTGCCAGATATCTAGCATGATATCTGTGAGTCAGCCAACTCCACATCCACATCCAGGCAGCTGGCAGAGCAGGCAGCTAATTTTTCACTGCAAAACACTTTTTACTCACCTCCAGTTCTCTCTGTAGCTCAGACAATCCCTGTTACCTGCGTGTGCTAATCCATTCTTTCACCCATACTGTTTGTCTTTATAATTACTATCTTTATAATAACAAACAGCAGCTGTTTCATGTGTAGGTTCCCTTCATTTCCCGTTTCACATTTTACGTGTGTTTTCTTGACAAAACGTGGTTTTGTAATGGTCCCAACTATTACAAACTACTAATGGTTATATGTTATTTCCAGTAATTGTCTCTTAAAAGTTCCCTGTGATGTTTTTGACCACTAGCCCCTTAAGTAGCCTGTTGCCCTTCCAGGATAGAGCAAGCACAGACAGATCACTGATAATTGTTTTCATTCCCATCTAGTGGTGTAAACTGCCATTTGTCAAACCAAGCGAGGTATTAAATGGGTTCATATCTAAAATAAATGCTATTTGATATCATAAGCCTTCTTATATTAGATCATTACAATTTTCCAGACTACCAAAAACATACACAGTCAAATCGTATATTTGAGTCCTGTCTGTTGGTGAGAGGCATAAGTCATCACAAGTGTTTGAACATGCAGATTGTGGAGTAAAAACTTAACTAGTCACTATCTTTGAAGTGTAACTCTGTAAAGTGTGAATTGTACATGTTATGTATTAAATTTATCTTTATTTAGCCATTTTTAGGGGGAATGAAATGTAAATATATCAATATTAAAAACTAAAATGTTAACATGTCCCAGTCTACTATAGAATAGCGACATTGATAATGGGAGTATTATTAAGACCCCGAAAACTTAAATATCAAGTAACCTCCTCAGGAGGAGGTTTACTTCAACAAACGCTGAGTCTGTTTCCTCATTCATACTGTCAATATCAAAGCACATATTGGAACACAATTTCGTCTTGAGAAACATCACGGTTAGATAGGCTTTTTTTTTTTTTACCCAAACATGATCTTGAACATGACCACTTTTATGATAACTCTATCATCAATGTATGGACAGAGAGTTATCTTTGGACATCGTGGATTTATCCTCAGCACAGAATAAAATCTATAAGCCATAATAAAATCTATAAATCTGTCCTTTATAACACAGTGACTCTGTGGACATTAAGGCAGCTATCAGGTTGGCAACAGTTGCACAAAAGCTGCAGTAATCACTGTTTAAACTAATCCGTATAAAACTGATCAATGAATGGTAATCTTTCATATTGTAGTCGCACAGATTAGAACTTTAGTAATCAACTGGACATTATGTAAATATTTCCCATAGAGTGAGGATGACTGTGGTGCAGCTGAAACAATAAAATGTAGTTTAAAAGTAAGATTTTCATTATTTGCTGCTTAGTCTGAATGTGTTTTGACAGCATTTCATAAAATATGAAATAAGCAAGATTTTATTAATGTAAAATAGACGTCGAAAAATTTACAGTTAGTTTGAACCTAGACACATTTTCTAATGCAAAAAAATCATTAATGGGCTAACCTATTGAGTCGTACTGTCACTTTACAATCACAGGTCCATGAGTAGCCTAAACTGTGTCTAATCTGTTCGATTAATATTTTCATAATGTAATGGGCTGTAGGAGAATTGCAGCACTTTATCATTCATTAAGGAAATTCTAGTCTGGTAAGCGACGAATGAAGTGGAGGTGGCTCAGTTGATAAGATACGTGCCTTTGGTGTAAGAAACCCGGGTTCAATTCCCCACTGTGACACATCCACCAATGTGTCCCTGAGCGAGACACTTTTTGACTGACAGCAAACAATCCAACAACTGTCAGGTGTCGCATCACCAGTGGACATGTAGTAGAGGTGTGCTACTGCTGCGTTCCATTTACCTCGGAGGTCGGAACTGAGAATGATGTCACACCCAAATTGACGGCGTTCCAGTTACAAATAGGAAAACCTCACTTGGCCAGCTGTTGTTTACAACTAGCTTGGGTAGCCATTGCTACCAAAGCCGGTTGATAAAAAACACATTGTGCAGTATTTACCCATACTAAACCCAGAAGCAACATGTCCACAGACAGCAGTGTGACAGCACTTTGTGTCCAAAAATGAGACACAAGTACAGAGAAGTGCTATTAAATAGTGTAAACTACAGCTTTCACTAACTGTTGATACTCGGAGCAGCCATCATGGTAGTGCGGTCCGTCTTAAGGGGGCATTCCCTTTGAAATTTCCAGTCCCATGTCAAATACATTCCCATACAGGATTGGCTGACAAAATGGCCACCATTGCACAGACTAAGACTGTGTCCGAAATCCCCACTCATTCACTACTCCCCACCCCCTATGTAGGGAGTTGTATGTAGAGCACTATATAGTGAGCTCCATTAAAACAACACTTTCGGACACTACCCCGATCGTTATTTCGGCGCAGTTAATTGCGTCATTGCCGTCGGGCAATAATTCTTTTCTATCAGCGCAATACTTGATGGTATATAGGGCTTGGTGAGTGACCATCGGTTGTACACTACTTTTTAAAATGCATTCTGGGATACATTGAGTGGACTATATAGGGTATAATAATTCTCACTATGCATTCGGACAGCACTACAAAATGGCGAGCTCACTATATAGTTCACTATATAATGAGTAGTAGGTGATTTCGGACACAGTCTATATCTCCCAGAATGCCTCACCACAGGTGCAGGCGCCTTAGCCACCTAATGAAAGCAGGATTTGGAGCAGACATGTTCAGAAGGGGAAAACTGAAACTTTATGTTGAGGACTTTTTGGAATTCGGTTGAGTTTTAAACCTTTTATTCCTCTGGGATGTTTTAAGTTGGATCTTGAAATTTGATTTTGATTAAGCACATTACCTGATTTGCTTGCTGATAACCTGTGGACTAAGAAATAAAACTTTTGAACCTTCCATTTGTTGCCTATTTTTTCAGTTACATTGCACTGCCCCACCCTAGCCTGCCCAGGTGACCTCTCGTGACATTACACAGCACATTTTGCTTGTTGCACTTAAGTACATGGAATCACCTTTTTCCCAGTGACAGCAACCAAATCTGTCCTAACACTGGCAGGAAAATCTGTTTATCAAAAGTAATAATAAATAAAGTTTTAGAATGTAATTAAAAAGACTAATATCCTTCAAAATGTGTGTCCGTTTTGAGCTGATACTACTTCTGTAAGATTATGGTGATGTTTTTCAAATTATTTGTCACGATCCTGTCCTGAGCGTGTCTGGGTTTCAGTCCTGTCTGTGTGTCTTGTTGCGGAGTCTGGGTTTTTGTTCCATGTCTGTGTTCCTAGTCCTGTGTTTTAGTTCTTGTCTTAGTGTTCACTCCTTGTCGGTGTACTTCTGTGTTTTGCCCATGTCTGAGTTCTGTTTTACCTTTTGTCTTCCTCCTGGACCTTATGACGCCCCTGCTCTGCCCTCCTGCCACCCGCCGGAGAATTCCCTGTCTACTCCCTGGCCTGTCTGGGTTTTGATTTTTGTTTTTCTGTGCTCCCTCCGCCCACCCTGGTCGGCCTGGACTGTTGTTGTTTGTGCTGCGTTCTGGTCTGTCTGGTTTTTTTGGTTGACCATCTGGAGATGCTCGTCGGTGAGGGGGTACTGTCACGATCCTGTCCTGAGCGTGTCTGGGTTTCAGTCCTGTCTGTGTGTCTTGTTGCGGAGTCTGGGTTTTTGTTCCATGTCTGTGTTCCTAGTCCTGTGTTTTAGTTCTTGTCTTAGTGTTCACTCCTGGTCGGTGTACTTCTGTGTTTTGCCCATGTCTGAGTTCTGTTTTACCTTAGCTTCTGTGTGTTCCTTGCTGGTGTTAGTTCATTTGTGATCTGTCCGCTTGTTCATATTACTCTGATGTTTAGTGTTGAGTAACTTGTGTTTTTGTCTTTTCCCCCCTCAGTAATCTGCCTGCCTGCTAGTCTGTGTTTTCCCTTCTGTCTCTCTGCCTCGTTAACCCTGATCCCAGTCACCTGTGTTGCTCCCGCCCTGCTCGTTAGTCACTGTGTATAAATGTCTGGTGTTTCTGTTCATTCCCTGTCTGGTCATTGTCGCATGCCTGTCCTGTCGCTACCCGATACCTTTTGGATGTACCAGTTCCTGTACTCGTAAGTTCTGTTCATGCCTGTTGTCGTGCTTGGGATAAATAAAACCTTGAACTCCATCTCAGCTCACAAGTGTCTTGCATTTGGGCTCACTCCTGCTGCACTCACCCAACAAATCCTGACAGAATGACCGGACCAATTAAGAGCCCAGCAGACACTCTTACTGAGAAACAGATTGACGTGCTGAGGGAGCTTTTGGCCCTGAGGAATATGTGGTTTGGGGCTAGTCATGTCCCTCACCTGGAAGAGCCTGGCTGCTCAGCCAGGAGCAGCAGACTCTTTCCAAGGGTGGGTGTTGGACTTCCTCCACATCTCAGCCGATCTTCCAGCCATGCCATCATCAGTTCCTCAGTCCGTTAGCCTGGAAACAGCTAACACCCGGACCGCTAGCCTCTGGCCGTCTATTCCCCGGCCTGCTAGCCCTCAAAGGACTTGTTCTCGGCCTGCTAGTTGCAGGTTGGGAAGCATCCTCCTGTCCTGCCCGGCTAGCACTGCTAGCCCTCCGCCTGTAACCTGCTCGACCAGCGCTGCTAGCCCTCCGCCTGTAACCTGCTCGACCAGCGCTGCTAGCCCTCCGCCTAGCCTGTCCGCCTGCCTGCCTGCCCCACCTACCAAGAACTCAGAGACGATGACTCTCCTGACCTACCTGACCATGAAGGCCAGGGAGTCAGAGGCGGCACGGGCAGCTAGCCTATGGCCTGATAGCCTGGAGGCTAGGCATTCCCCGGAGTCCTCCTTTGAAGGGAGTCGCCTAGCCATGTTTTTGGGTTCCCGTGGTGGTCATCGGAGGCAACAAGGTCACCATCAGAGACCCGTCTACAACATGCCTGTTTCCCGGCCCGCTAGCGCTGCTAGCCGCCTGCCCGATCCCTGGCCTATTCCTGCTCCCAGGTCTCACTTGGTGGTCCTACCGACACCCGTTGCTGGTCCCTCGTCGGTGGTCCGACCAACACCAGCTCTGTTGGTGGTCCAGCCGATTTCCTGTTCCTCGTGTCCGGTCCATGGTTCCCAGCCCAGCTGTCAAGTTGGTGGTCAGACCGACTCCAGCTTCTCGTGTCCGGACCATGGTCCCCAGTCCAGCTCTGCCGGTGGTCAGGCCGCCTCCAGCCCCTGCTGTCCGGTCCATGGCCTCCAGCCCTGCAGTCCAGTTGGTGGTCAGGCCAACTCCAGCTCCTCGTGTCCGGTCCATGGTTATCAGCCCAGCTGTTCAGTCCATGGCCTCCAGCCTAGCTGTCCTGTCCGTGGACCTCAGCCCAGCCGTATCACCCGTGGACCTTAGTCCAGCTCTGCCACTTGCGGCGTCAGGCCTCCTACGTCGGCCTCCTGACCAACCTCCGGAGAGGTTCCGCCGTCAGCGCTGGCCTCCTGCCCAATCTCCTGAACTCTGTGTTCCCTCTGTTCTGCCCGGCCTGATGGGTCGTCCTCCGGGACGGCCTCCCGAACCCTGTCGCCCCCCTGGTCTGCCTGGCCTCATGGGTCGTCCCTGGGAAGACCACCTGAACTGTTTTACCCTCCTGGCCTGCTCGGTCGGCCTCCGGGTCGGCCCCCTGAACTCTGTTTTCCCCCTTGCTCTGCCCTCGGGACGCTCGCCTGAGGTTTCCCTGTCTGGTTCCCCTGCCCGGCCTGTTGGGTCATCCTCCGGGACGACCTCCTGAACTGTGTGTTCTCCGTTACCCTCCTGGCCTGCTCAAAAGACCTCCTGGTCGGCCTCCCAAACTGTTCTGCCCTGCCCTGCATGTTAGGCCAAGCGCCTTACCTGCCCTGTTTCCTGGGCATGATCTGCCTGTTGGGTGGTTACCCCAGACTGTTTTGTTCCCTAACCCTGATTTGCCTGTTTTGTCTTCCCCCTGCTCTGCCCTCCTGCCGGTCATTGTCTCATGCCTGTCCTGTCGCATGTCGTGTTGCTACCGTTACCTGCTACCTTTTGGATGTACCAGTTCCTGTACTCGTAAGTTCTGTTGTGCTTGGGATAAATAAAACTTGAACTCCATCTCAGCTAACAAGTGTCTTGCGTTTGGGCTCACTCCTGCTGCACTCACCTAGCAAATCCTGACATTATTGATATCTCTGGGACAGCTGTGCCCTATGACTTCACTTTGGTACGGCCTCAGATGTGTTATAAGGGTCTTTTTTTTCCAAAAGAGGACCAGTTCAGAGAATGTAAAACATCATGTCTACACAGCAGGCCGAGACTGTAGTCCAATGCTCCTTTGACAAGATAACAAGCTGTTTAAGTTCTGTGTTACAGCTCCTTATCAATGGTTAGAGGGCACAACTCCACAGCTTTTTAATAAGCATTTAACTATATGATTATACCACTTGTGCTTCTCAATACAATGGGGGGAAAAACTGAAAATGCAGGGAATGTGTTAAATCTTTAATATTGGATGCTGATTATTACTATCAGGGATTTAAGTATGTTGACATGTGCTGGTGCACATGGTTAAAGGTGTCTCTCTAGCATTAACCGACCTAAGAAAGAACAGGATGTAACTGATGTTTTAAAATCTGATGTGGTACCTATGCCAACGGAGTAAATATTTTTCACAACCTGTCATTGAAAAAGCTATGGAATGACATCCATCAGCAGTAATGTAGAGGATGTGAATTATTCTGTTATATCCAGGATAAAGCACTTCTACTTATTTATAAAATGCTACTTGAATATGTTCACAATTTACCACAAAGAGACAGATTCGGAAATATCATATTCAAGGAAAGCTTTATGGAACTAGTTGCCTTTGTCCCTCCACATGTACATATAGAGTGGACTTTGGACAGTACAGCTGACAGACAAAGTACTGCATGCAATTCCCACCTACCCTCCATACAGAACACCATTGGTATAAAAGGCCTAAAAGGGGCTTGAGGCCTCAGTCTCATCTGAGTACTCACCAAAGGAGCACAAAGGAGAGAGTTGCACAGAGCCCATGATGGGAGACTCGAAGCTCTGTCTTTCCCTACTCCTAATCACACTTACCTTGGCTTGTAAGTATTTTTAAAATTAAATAGTGTTGCTTTAGATTGGGTATACCATTAATAAAATATAATAGTATTAAAGAATAAACGTAAAAACATCTCTTTTTGAAGTAAAATAGTTTTCCTGCAGGAGGAAGCAAAGTTTTACACAAACATTTCTTATGAATGTCTTTACAGATGCCCAAGAGAAGCATGCAACCTGCTTTTGTAAGTTCCAGAATTTTGATATGTTAATTACACAACATCAATGTTGTGTAAATGTTAATTATAATGTGGCTATTTTTAGGTAAACTGAACTTTGATTCTAGCAGCAAACGCATGTAGTATTTTTCCTCACCTTTTTTTATTAAACAGAATTACTATTGTTGGACTTCCTCACAGTCATTGCAGCATACTGAAATCTAATGAAAAATCATTCATATCTTCTCTATCAGTAAACCAAAGGTACAAAGCCTACCACAAATATGAATACCTGTATGAAGGTGAGTCCTTGAATGCCATCAATGGTGCTTCACATGTCAGGAATGGACCTAAGGTCACTTGTAAGGTACATGCCACCATGTTTTACCAGCTACACTGTACATTCTATCAAATCCATTTAAGGTACATTATTTTCTTTCTACACTATATCTAGCAAGGAAAAGCTAATATATATTTTTTAACAGGTTGAAATTGAAGTACCACAGACTTGTAGTTTCATTGTCCGCACCACTGGCTGTAGACTGAGGGAGGTGGCCAACATGGACGCAGAGGGCAACCCTGTGTTCGGTCCTGCACCCAGCTCTGATGCCTTTGCTGTTGAAATGGAGAAGTATGTTACATCAACACTTTTACATTAAGTGACACACTGAGTTGCATGAACACACGTCATGCAATCAAACCCATTTGCTATAAGACTTAATGGTAAGCGTCTCACATTTCCTGTAGATATCCTCTGAAGGTTGTGGTTGAGGGTGTGTACGATGTGAAACTGTACCCTGAGGATGGTGAGACATCAACCATCCTGAACATCAAGAGAGGTATCATCTCTGTCCTGGCCGTGCCTCTGCTGGAAGAAGACAAGAATAGGAACATGGTAGAGCTCCTACTCATTACTGTATGCCAAAAAAATAAACACAAGTCCTCACATCAACTGAAGATGATTTCAATATCTCACCCATTTCCAGCCCACAATCCACGGCATCTGCAAGACGCATTACTCCATTAACACTAGAGAGGACATTGCAACTGACGTCAGCCTCACCAGGGATCTCTCCAAATGTGACAAGTTTATCCCCATGAGAGATCACACCAGCCCCCTGGCACTTATCACTGGCATGGTAAGATATCCAAGCAACACAGGTGGGTCTCGTGTGAAATGCTGACAGATGACATTTTTCCTATTAACAACCACTGCTTAACTAATATTTCCACGTTGGCTGACTCAAACAAAAATTACATCACTGTACTTATTCTGTTTAACAGCATTTAATCTTTTAGAAGTGTAGTGTAAAAGCAAACCACAACAGTACCTTTAGCATTCACAGTGTTAATGAAATCAATAGGCAAGAATCTTGCAGCTGAATTATTTGTCTTTCAGCACTACCCTCTTGCCCAGCTGGTCAGAAGCTCACAGAGCTGCAACTACAAGTTCGACAATGAGAAGAAACACATGACCTCTGGGTCCTGCACTGAGAACCATATACTTATTCCCTTCTCACACAAGTAAGTCAAACCTTAAACTGCACTCTATTCTGTGCTCTCTTACATCTTGTCAAAGTGTCACTTATGTATTGTCAAAGGATTCTGTACTGTACTTTTAAACCCTGTGTTGCCTCTCCACAGTGGGGAATATGGAGTTACCAATGTTGGAAAGCAAGAAGTGACTCTGGTTCAGGTTTCTCCTCACAATGAAAGAGTCTTTGAATGCAGTAAGCCTTTTGTTTTCATTTTTAATTAATTGTTTCAAAATTGTCACTAAATGTAGTATTAACTCATCCCATCGATTTACTTGTGTTTCATAGGTGACATTGTCAAGGGTCTTCACATGGAGGCTGTCGAGGACAAGAATGCTGTCCAGGACAAAGATGCAGGTCTGAACCTCCTGAATGAACTGGCCACTCTGCCTGAGACTGAGGGTGAGAGGAGGGCCCACCTCTTCCACAAGCTCGTCACCATGGTCCGTGGAATGAAGGCTGAGACCCTGATTCCCGCCATTCCTGAGGCTCTTGCAATGTCCCGTGTCCTGACCTACCAGGTTCTGGTCCAGTGCGGAACTCCTGAGTGCAGCAGCGCCATCATGCAGATCCTCAGGACCTTTGACAGCTCCTCCCTCGAAGTTGATGCCAGTGTTTTTGCTATGGGACTCATATCCAATCCTTCTGCCCTCCTGATCAATGACATGCTTGAGATGGCCAAATACAAACACAGCAAGCCCATCATGTATGCCCTGAGCAATGTTGTCAAAAGGTGAGTGAAGTCCACCACACTTTATTCTAAATATCTGAATCCCATTTCAGCATTTAAGCTTTTCCTCTATTTGTGTAAAATAAGGCTTTGAATTCTAAATTTCCATAAAAAAAAAATCTTCAACAGGTATTACAAAGCTGAAGGAAAACTGATCCCAGAGATTCACTCTGTTGCTGAGTTCATGGCTGCCCAGTTGGGTGACTGTTCTGATGACAGTGACAAAACCTTCATGACGCTGAGAGTGGGTAACCGTTTGTATAGATCAACATTTAAATGACTGGCAACATCAATAAGCAGAATATTAATGTGTGCTTTGATTCTAGGTTATTGGAAACATGGCTTCAGCTGTGGGACCTGCTAGTCCTGCACTCAGAGCCGCTGTGATCCAGTGTGTGAACCAACCTGCAGCTTCCCAGGCTGTGCAGGAGGCTGCCATTCAAGTGTACAGGTTGACTCCCGTCCCAGACGAGGCAAGTCAAATTGTGTAATGAGTTTCACAGGTTATCTGAATTTCTACAATGTGCTCATTTTATTGATCTTGTTTGATCACAGGCCAGAGAGGTTCTCATGCAGGTACTTTTGGACAATGCCAGTCCCATGCAAAAGCGTATTGCTGCATATCTGGTACTTATGAAGGACCCCCAGCCCACTGAACTGGCACAGCTGGCTAATGCCTTGCCCAATGAGCAGGACCAACAAGTCAAGAGTTTTGTGATCTCCCACATTACCAACATTTTGTCTTCAACTGACTCAGAGACCCAACAGTAAGTGAAAATCAGTTGCAGCTTTATATTTATATTTTTCAAATCTGTTGTTTCACTACATGGTTAGTAGGTGCGGCAATTTGATCACCATCAGGTGTTTAACTGTATTTTTACACTTTTTTGCATTTTCTTCCTGCAGACTGAGACAGAAGATCCGTGATGCCCTGCAGGGTAATGAGATCGGGCCCATCATGGACCCAACCAAGTTTTCTCGCAACTACAAGATCGGATCTGTGGAGGGCAACATGATCTTTGAGGGTACCAGCTACCTGCCAAAGGAGGTCATGCTTAAAATGACTCTGAAGGCATTTGGCTATGACATTGACATGATGGAGGTAAATATTTTGAGCTGTTAATCTAAACTGTGCTTTGAGGCGATTTTTCATTAAGATAAGTTGTGACTGTGAAAACTTTGTTACCTTTACAGATTGGTATGGAGGGAAAAGGATTTGAGCCAACTGTTGATGCCCTGTTTGGAGAGAATGGCTTCTTCCCCGACACTGCCCTGAAGACAATGTACTTTGTGTCTGACAACATGCCACTCAGAGTCACTGAGATCCTGCAGAACATGCTGCCTGCTCTGAAGAAGGACAGAATGAAGAGACAGGTACTCAGACCACTCTTTGTACCCATTAATTTGACTAAAACCAACATAATGGTCAATCCTTCAAAAAGGATAACATCTTTTACAGAGTGTGCATGTTGTTGTTATTCAGGCCTCCCAGAACCTGATGAGGGACATCGGACGCAACTTCAACAAACTTGTGAGGGAAATTAAGACAGAGTCTCCCGAGGCAATGGTTTACCTGAGACTTTTGGGAAATGAGTTGGGATATCTGAAGACCAATGAAATCACAGAGATGGCCTACTCTGCTGTCATGATGATTGACAGCATGTTCAAGATGTTCCCAACTGATGTAAGGAAGTTATTCGTATTTTTTTTTAGAAGAAAAGCTGACAATGAAACAATGCATTAATTTAGAAAGTCCTTGTTTATGATTTAAATTTCCTATGTGTATTTTTATTTGCCACAGCTAATGAAGGCACTGATGACCAAGGATGACAACACAATCTTTGCCCACTACATCTTCATGGACAATGAATTCTTCTTGCCTACTGTCACTGGTGTGCCTCTGAGGATTGCACTGTCTGGTACTTTCACCCCTGGCATCAAGGGTGGACTTAAGATTGCTCCTGACATGGTAATTATATTTAAAACTCTTTGAGAAAGTGTGTTTTACAACATGCTAAATGTATAGTTTTCTATTCCACAGAAGTCATCTATGTGTATTTTGTTTTCACAGAGTGACGTCACCTTCATGCCCTCTGCTGGAATTGAGTTTGTAACTCAGGTTGGCTCCCACATCCCTGAATATGTCAACTCTGGATTAGAGATGCACACCAGCATTTTTCACGAGAGTGGGCTCAGTGCCAAGATCTCCGTGGGACGTGACAATCTAAAGCTGACCATCCCTGCTCCACCAAGTCCAACAAAGCTCATCAAAATGACGTATGTCCAAATACAACTTTCAGATATTATACAATTCTTTCCAGTCTAATTGCAAGTGCAAGAGTTGTAATGCAATTGCTAACCCCGCAAACCTGAAATATAAAGGGGACAGTGTTGTTTCACTATTTCAGTTAAAGATACATGTGTTTGTAACTTATGTTCAACATTTTCTTTGTGTACTCACGGCCTGCAACTTTTCTATATCCAAACTAAAACAGCCGTTGTTATATTTGAACTTTGCTACACTGAAAATTTAGAAACACCCTGGTGGCAGTGACTGGATTAGAGGTGAAGACCATTCCCCCTATGGTGATGGACAAGGTTGACTTTAGTGAGTGCACTCCCTTCTTTGCTGGAATGAAATACTGTACTGATCTGCAGTACATTGATGCTTTCTCTCAAGAGACGACCCCCTACTTCCCCTTCACTGGAGACAGCAAGTGAGCAACACTCTTTGAATCACCATTTAAATTAAAATAAATTACCTATGAATATTGGCTAATTAATTTGAATTATCTAAATAGATTTGCTGTGGAGCTTCATCCCACTGGTGAAGTCACTGAGTACACAGCCACTGTTGCCTACGAGCTCCTCAGGGAGGGAGAAGAAGGCCGGCAGAAGGTTGACTCTGTGAAGGTCATTCTAAGGGCTGAAGGTAAGGTACAGAATTGAAAAATCTTTCTAATGTATTACCAGCTCAATTTAGGAAAACACTTAAGTGTGTAATATTATTCTGTCGGTTGGTCAACAATAGGTGCAGATCCCACTGAAGCCAGAGCAATCATGAAATATAACAGAAGGAAGAATGTCATCACAGCTGACATCCAGATCCCTGACTACGATGTGGAGGCTGGAGTCAGGCTGGGTGTTGTTGATGGAAACACTAAGAGCAAAGGAACTCACTCCATCTCTCTTGACTTTCTAAACAAGAACATCCCTCAGCTCTCCCTAGTTGGCCGTGCTAAGTAGGAAACCTTAAATACTCATAAAATAACATAATCAACTCTCATCATCGGGAGTACTCTAACTCACTGTTACATTTTTCAGTCTGAAGGCCATGAAGGAAGGTATGCTGCAAGTCCAACTTCTTGTCCCCTCAATCAATGCTGATGCCTCTGTCACAGCTAACATGAAGCGTGATGAAGAGTTACAATTGGAGCTTAAGAGTGACATCAAGCTCCTGGAAACCACTTCTGAACAGAAAATCACAATGAAATATGGTATTATAAGTTTCCACAGTATCTTTCTTAACTTTTGAGATGCTGAATTGTTTTTACTTTACGTTTGATTTTTCATGGTGTCACAAGGTGACTCTATCCCACTTCTATTTGCAAACACATTTTCTAACAAGATGGAAACAATTTAGTAAAACTGTATTTAAACCGAAACCTATCCTAAGCAATAGAGAACTGTTAATGAAATGTTAATGTTTTGAGATTCTTTCCTTTTCCTTTACAGAGACCAGCAAGATTGAGGTTGAAGTAAAGTCCGATATAAACTCTGAGATCTTGGGCATCCTTCCATATGCTAGTGAGATGAAAAAGCTTGGAAATGCTGTACTTGACATGCGGGTAGGGGAGACTGACATGACGGTCTTTCAAATCTTTAAGGCATTTGTGAAGGTACAAATCTTTTTTTTGAATGATGCTCTTCTTTGATTCTTTGTTGTCTGGATTAGGCATAAAAACATGTTACTTATTCTTTAGGCAACAAACAACCACATGGAAATGTATGCTGCTGAGATCCCTTTTATTCAGAACTTCAGAGTTCCTGAAATTCCTGAGATTTCACTGCCAGAGACACTGTTCCTGAATGCGTAAGTCTAAATGAACTCAGTGATTAATATCTTAACTTTCAGAAAATGTCATTATTTAAAAACATATTTATTGATTTTCATCTTTATGACAGTGAGGCAAAGGCTGTCTACCACTTCAATGACGAGCAACTCACCATTGCTATCCCTCTCCCTCTTGGAGGAAAGTCAACAGAAGAGCTTAACTTCCCACCAGCTTTGACCACTCCTCACATGTCTATGCCCCAGTTTGGACTGGAGATCGTCTCTGTGGCGATACCCATCCCAGAACTTTTTGTCCCTGATAGCCTTACTCTGTCTATTCCTCTTTTTGGCAAAGCTGAGGTTTCAACTCTGATGAGAAGCAACCTATATAACATGGAAGCCTCAGTGGCTGTCGGCAAAGATGTTGTGGAGACACCAAGCTACTCAGCTAAGTT